GTTCAGTATGCGATTGGATTGGAGTATGCGATTGGGATCCATAATAATAATAACTTTATTGCCTCCGTGTAAAACGATTTACATAGGATAAGTGCAGCAAAAAGGAGTTTTAAAATAACAAGATATATGTAAACAATATTGTAAAAAAAAAAAAATGTAACTAGTATTTAAATGTTAAATAAATCTTTTCGTTGTGTGAACATAATTGGCAAGTTCTATAATTATGCCAGGATCTTTGCTTGAGAGTATATATGTGAACTTTATCATCGGTACTTGTGCACGTTTTCGAATTTTGTCGAGTTTGCATTTAAAATTATGTGCATTACAGTGAAATACGTTAAATACACAGTCACGTGGGGGCTGAAAATCAATAAATACTAATTTTTTGAAAAAAAAATCATCCGCTATACGTATATAAATATTATAAATAATAAATATAATATATATTATAATAAATAAATCAAGTGCGCATACTCATTTTCAGGCAATCAGGCGTACCGTAACAGCGAGTAGATGTTGACCGGGGAGGGTGCTCAAACATTAATAAAAGCGGCTGTCGGTGTTTCACGGGTCAGATTAACGTTTACGACATGCGCCGGGACTTGCGACTTCGGCTGGGCTCAAATTTGATACAGTTATGTGGTGGCTGTAGCTCAGTAGGTTAACACTTTATTCATATGCAAATGAGATGACCTATTTTGTATATGTTAGCTATATTCATTAAACGTACCAAGTCCTCCCTAGTGGTCTAGTGGTTAGGATATGTGGCTTTCACCCACAGGGCCCGGGTTCGATTCCCGGCTAGGGAACTTACTTTTTTTTCATACACATTTTTTTTCCTTTTCTCTTACTCATATAAATTTTCACGTTGCTATATCTATAATTCTTTTCTTTATTTTGCGCATTTCGCAAATTTTACGTATTCGAATATTTGTTCATTACCCATATTGGCGCGTTCATAATACGAGTTAGCTGCGGTTCCGTAGTTCTTTAGTGCCACCTACAATCGGATTCCTAACAGTTTCATTTGGACGTCACGGTCTCCTTTTTTTAATTTTGTTGTTGTATGTCAAACACATGGGCTGGCCAGAGTCAGTCAGGTAAAAATGCGGCCGGCAACATTGAGCTATGATTCCACAGCTAAATACGAGTGGTCTATATTCGTTATGCTAAATCGTGTCATACAGTATCCTTCCCATCCTTCCCAGAATATACATAAATCAGAGTTGATGTTTACAGGAATATCATAAACTGTATTACGACATCATAGTCCTGAAGAGTGGAAGAACATCACACCAAAAGGAGTACATATTATATGAAGTCATAACTAAAGCTTTTAACGTGAGTTACTGCGCCCTCATCGACCAACCAGCAGTAATCAAAGTTCACCACAGTTTCTCTATCTACAGAAGGACTGTGCCATCACCTACCTACGGTTACTAAGAGTCGTGATTCCGAAATATCGGTTATATCGTCCGATGTGATACGTGGATATAAAACACGTGACCACGTCAGTAGTTTCTCTCTAATGTAAAAAAGACATAACAACTTACTTAATTCCGTAACACTTAATTGTATCATCTTGTGA